GCATGTGTTTGGGTAAGAAGTTATTCGTTTGGCCTAGTGTTGGGCCATACATGTTGGGTTTGAGCATGGAACTCAGGTTGCTATGGTAAGCTAGTGTCTGGGTTTGCTGTTGGGCGAAGATTAAGACCACTGAAGGCCTGAGGACATCCCCGGGTTATTTCTGTATTGGGCCTGTAATTGCCTCATTGGGCTTGTATTCGTTCAAGCTGTAATTTTTAATCTTGTATTATTTCCTCTTGGGCCTGTAATAACTTGTAAACAAAAAGTTGGGGTTTAGTGGAAAAGGGAAAACTGGGATACTTTATCTTTTGCATGAACGGGTAGAGATCATGCCTATATGATCTTAATCGTTTGTTTGTTCATCGTGCCTCATTCTCTGGAATTATGTGTTATTCCCTTAGAAAACATGACTTAGGGGCTTATATAATGATTTGAATGGTTAGAGAGCATTCCTACAGGATCTAAATTGGACTTCTTGCACTTAGATATTATGCCTATAGGAGGTCAATACAAATAATTGAAATTGATGCTTTGGTATTTCTTTCAAATATATGACTCGTCTAGACACCATGTTCATATGATTTCAATATAGATAATCCAAGTTGTCATTGCTATTGTTCTCCTTTTGTCATACAGCCCGTCTAAAATGCATGCCTATAGAGACAAATGAATAATTCTGCATTCTCAACTACTTCACTCCCCAGACACGAGTCGTTTAGAGATCATGTCTATAGGATGCTACTACACACCTAGAAAGCATGACTATAGGATTCTTTGATAGTACTATGTATAAAAAATAGCCTATTCGTCAAAACTAGTCATCTGGAAATCTCGCTTATAGGAATTTACACTAATTGGTGAGTGGTTCGAATCACATATAAACCATGCCGATAGGTCTTGAACAATTTAACATGCCTTAACTCCAAACCTGCCTATCTATAGTTGTCCGTTTAAATAATCTGAACATCGCTAGTATAAGTTATAACTGTCTGCCTAATTGACAGCGAGCATTTGTGTGTATATGAGGAGGTGAACTTGAGCCTTTGGTGTTGATTATGTGTAGTCCTATTCGTTTTGATTGTGCGCCTAGTTTTCTCATTTTGAGCAGCCTAAGGAAAGTTCTAGAATTACCAAAGTAGTAGGTCCAAAGCCTCCTGGACCATAGGCATGGGACGGGTAGTGCACGCATAGGATTCGACCTAGAATTGAATTAGAGCGCCTTTAAGTAATAACTTTAACATAGTAATCGAGTAGCAGGAGATGATAGTTTGTGCCCGCTGAATAATATGAGCAATCCCTACCTTAAGGGAGTTGAGAAGTATTATTTATGTTGCACGGGGTGATCCTTTAGGCTAAAAAATTTAAAACCCCCCTTTTCTTTATATGCTTGCTAAAGGGACTTAGTCATTGAATATAGACCGACGCAGTTGTATCCTCTAAGACTTGTACTGATTATTTACATATTTTAATTTTTATGTTGTTTTTTATACACTTGTTACAATAGACCTTCAAACTTCCATTTTTATGACCACTTAGCTTAATTATTACTCAATAATCCACATAGCGTAAACTTCGGCCGGGACCCACCGTTGTGGACCTCGAAGAGTGCCTAACACCTTCTTTTCGAGGTAATTTGAGCCCTTACCCGATCTTTGGTGATCTAGACTAGTCAAATAGAGTTATTTGCAAATAGGTGCTCTAATGGACCTTAAAAATCGTTAGGTGACGACTCTTCTCTTTTAATACCCACTAAAGAGTTGTCACACGTCGAAGCCCACTTTCGCGAGAAAACGGGGCGTGACAACGGTATACACCCTATTTCTTGATTTTTTGTTGTTTGAATACAACTGAATTCAATATAGTGAAATTGAATACAATTCAATATTGCGCTTTCCGTTATTAAACACCTGTAATCACTATTTTTTAGGCGGATTACCTCACAGTATTTATAAATATATTTGCGCGAATACATGAAATACAGAATTAAATAGCTCTAATCCCTGTTTTAGGCGGATTACCTTACTGTATTTATAAATACAATCGCGCGAATACATGGAATATAGAATTAAATTGTTGTAATCCCTATTTTTTGGCGGATACCTCATTGTATTTGTAAATACAGTCGCGCGAATACATGGAATACAACACAGTAGCAACAAAATTTTGTAGAATTGATTTTGTTGAGTTAAATTAGGAGTGGTATACTCTAATTGATCAAATTTCCGTTATTAAACAGCTGGACTCCCTACTTATTAGGCGAATTTCGCGACTGTATTCATGGATACAGTAGCGCGAATACAACGAATACAGTCGCACAGCTAGACTCCCCTATTTTTTAGGCGAACTCCTCTACTGTCTTCATGAATACAGTAGCGCGAATACAGCGAATACATTCGCGTAACAATTAAATAGTAGCTATAGAAAGTAATTATGTATATGATAGTTATAGGAAGTTAATAGCCACTAAACAATAGTGGTTTCTAAAAAATCATCTTTACATAATTCAACTCTATAAATGTAACACCTCAACACATTTGACATTTACAAACTTACCATGTAACAGCACCCCGATAACCTAACATATTTCATACTACATATTCAAAACAAACATCTTATATCATGTTGTCAAAAAATATTAACAACTCAATATAAAGTCGAATTTCCCAAGAAAAGTACCCCTATTTTTTTTTTAATAAAAGGTATTTTTTTTCTCCAAGAAAAGTACATGTTTTTAGAATACACTTTTTTTTTAATACTTTTGATCCACTTAACTGGGGAGAAATTCAAAAATAGTCAGATTTACAAGTGGTCGTTCTAAAATAGCCCAGTTTCAAAAGTAATCGAAATTTAGCCACTTTTCATGTAAAGATAAATCTGAGCGAAAACACTGTTCAAAATCCAAAAAATACGCCAGTACATTATGCTGGAACTCCAGTATAAGTATACTTGAACTCCAGCATATTATACTGGAGTTCCAGGATAAGTATGTTGGAACTCCAGCATAATATGATGGAGTTCCAGCATAAGTACACTAGAACTCCAGCATAATATACTGGAGTTCCAGCAAAGTATACCGGTCCAGTATAATATGCTGGAAGTTCATACACAAGTGCTCAAATCTCCAGTATATTATGCTGGAACTTTCCGTGTGTTGGAGTTCCAGCATGATATGCTGGAAGTTCATACACAGGTGCACCGAACTCTAGTATATTATGCTGGATCGGTCTCTGTTACAGCAAAATAGTGGCTATTTTTCATTGACTTGGTTGGCTATTTTTGAATAATCAGTCCGAAAACTGAATAGACCGTGCTATTTTTACACTTAACTGACTAGATGAAAGCTATTCCAAGTGCGTTATGGATTCTGAAATTTCAGCAGATTTGGCATGATGTCTCCTATTGGAACAAATATCGTAAAGCAGTGTTTGAATATGAATTTTACTTGGAAAAGAAGTTCTAATTATGTGTGTAAAAAGTATCTTTATATGGAGACTGAGGAGTTAGGAGTTTTTTTTGGGGAAATTACCAGCTATGTCCATTTATAAGTAGCTCATTACAAAAATTGGCCAATTGATAAAATATTACTAATATTAGCCAAATTAGCCAATTAGCTATTTATAGCAAAAAAAAAATATCAAATTTTTGCTTTGTTTTGAGTGGGTGTTATTAGAATAGATTGGGCACAACATAAGGAGCTTGAATCTCAGTTTTGGGATGATTTGGTGAAGTTTTGAGGTGGTTTGAATTGAAAATTCGAAGTAAAAGCTGAACATGAAAAAAAATGATATGTGTCACATTGTGTATTATTTGTGTATCACATATGTATCATATTTGTATCAATTGTGTATCACATGTATATCCATGTATACCTGTGTGTGTGATACATGTGTTGCAGAAGACTTTTTTGAACTCGATTTAATTACGAATTTTGATAAAAAACCAGTCCAAATCACCTCCAATCTTCCTCAAATTTTGTATATTGACTTATCTATATACTTTCAATGAATTTCAACTATACCCATTGAAAAAGTTCCTTTTTTGTTTAGATTTTTGGAATATTGTATAGATTTTTGTATTTCATCACCTTATTTGCTACCTCGTCCATGAAATTTCCTTTCCGTCTTGTATCTAATGTTGCTAATCACGCTTAAAAATATGGAAGGTGATTTTTGCATGTGATCTTTGAGAGAAAGAACCCTATTATTTGGTTTTTCAATTTTTGTTGGCTAGTTTTGGTAAGTCTATGACTAATGGCTAGAGGTTGGTAAGTTGAGATTTATTTGGGACATTTGTGTAAGTTTCCCATTTTTTTGGGGGGGTGGGCTTTCGGCGGGAGAAATTCAAAAATAATCAGATATACAAGTTGTCTTTCAAAAATAGCCACAGTTTCAAAAGTAATCGAAATTTAGCCACTTTTCAGGTAAAGATAAATCTGAACGAAAACGCTGTTCAAAATCCGGAAAAACTCCAGCATAATATACTGGAGTTCCAGCATAAGTATACTGGAACTCCAGTATATTATAATGGAGTTCCAGCATAAGTATACTAGAACTCCAGCATAATATACTGGAGTTCCAATATAATATACCGGTCCAGTATAATATGCTGGAAATTCATACACAAGTGCTCCAATCTCCAGTATATTATGCGTAACCGATAAGCTAATCCGCCCAATAATTTATCGGGTGGCTAGCAAATTAGTACATTTACAAGCCGATAACCGATAAGCCAAACCGTTAAGCGTAAATATCCACACAATCTACCGGATAAGCAGCCCTGGCTTTCGGGATTACAAAAAATACTAGGGATAACGAGTTGGTCAAATTGAAGTGTTAATAACCTGACCATTTATAGCTTTTGACTTAATTTGGTTTATAAGCACTTTTGATGGTTACCAAACGAGTATATAAGTGAAAATGTGCTTATAAGTTGCCCAAAAACACTCCATATATACAGATCAAGTTAGGTGAACTAGCCTAAATTAAGTAGGCCACAAAGACTAGATCAAACTGAACATTTTATTATGTACATTCTTCCAATCCAGTTTGCTTCTCATCATCCAACATTTTGCTGAGTACATAGTAATGCACAACTCATGTCATCTACTGTAAACCTAAACAAAAGTGTGGTTCTCCTAACTCCATCCTCTCTCAAAGTCTTGAACAAAGATATTTCTAAGTACAAGTAATACACAATACACACAGAAACTCTCAAGAAAGAGAAACATAGAAATTTAGCAAGCAAGAAGAGCTAACTAGGCATTGACTTATGATTTTCTAGTATGAAGAGGATCCTAATGCCTTAAGAGTGATTGGACGACAGATGGAAGATAATGGATCGCCGGACCATGCTGAGTTAGCTAGCAAGATATTCACAGCTTCAGTAGGGTTATATAAATCCCACCATACATGATTTGAAGCTTGGTGGCACGCCATATCTGGTGACAGGCAGCCTTTCATCCCACCATATTTGCCTAGTCCACAACAAGCATTCTTTGCATCCTCAAATCCTGCAAATATTTTCACAGCAGATCGAGACAGTTGATAACGACAAATTAGAACAGCTAGAGATTATAGTAGTTTTAATAACAACAACAACAACAAAACACCCAGTGAAATCCCACAAGTGGGGTCTGGGAGTGTAATGTGTACGCAGACCTCACCCCTACCTAAGAAGGTAGAGAGTATATTAGTTTTAATATAACCAGAAAATATATGAACAAAAATCCAGATTCTGGACAAGCAAAATAGAACACGATGTGATCTTTTTTTACCCGTTTAGGATCAAAACCTTAAAGCAAGGATGATTTAGAGAGAATAACAAGAGGAAAGAAGGACTATGGGAGCAGACAGATAGAGATGTGAAGTTATAATGAAATTCACCAGGCATAGTGGAATAACCAAATCGGATGTGAAATATTGAAGCGCGATGAAACTCCAGATCGTATGTGGAATAGCCTAATATGAAATCCTTAAACAAATTTGCTTCTTTTGAGTGCAGAAGGCAAATAAATTAACTATCTAAAGATATCGTCCAATATGCAATGAGAGAATAGTGTAACACTTCAAATATGATGTCCGTTACATTAACAACATTCAGTCCAGTTTGAGGCACCAATAATCAACTTTCGGGCATTTTCAAAGATAATCCTAAATTACAAGGTGCTTTAGATAGGTACGATCCAGCTGATCACGTAAATGAAAATTGTCAACAATCAGTTCTCTCAATGAGATTCAAAATCGGAGATCTAGCAACCAGCAAAACATTTATGCAGAAAGCAGTGGATCTTGTACTATTCCAATGGTTAAGCAAATTATTAGAAAGGCTCTTAATTTTGACAAGTTTATGAAGCAGTAATCATACCAAAGGCTTGAGGATGAAAAATGAATTCCATCATTGCTCGATAGATATCACAGAATATGACTTGGGCACCTCGCATTTTGAGGTTAAGGTCAAGAATCTTCTGCTCTAGCCTTGTATTGAATTCCAAAACTAGCAAGTTGACATCGTTCTCACAGCCCAGCTTATCGCCAATGGTTGAATTGTGCCTTATGCTCATTACGCTCGGTGAGCATCCCAAAGGCAGTATGCCCATGCAAACAATCTTCCTCGCATTTGCATCATATAGATTCTCAATGACATTTATCATCTGGTCAACCAAAATACGGGTGAAATTTAGGCCATCGTATCCAGGACTTGTAGCAGATTCATCATCAACTAAGTAGTTGATCAGATCATCTTTTCCAAAGGACAGGTAGAAAAGGGAGGATTGAATTAGAGTTTTGGCAGTTTCTTGGCCAAGCTGAAGCTGCAGTAACTGGATGGTCTCAAATGTTTGGCGTAGTTGCTGGTTGAGCGACTGATAGCTTCGACTTCTAGGGTACATGATTGTAGCTTGTGCAGCACCAAAATTCACTCCATTTAGGAGTTCCTCAATCGATCCATTCTGGCTGTAGAATGGTTTAACATACTGCAACCCCATCTTCTTAGCTGCAACCACAAAGGCCATTTACATCAAACGTCAGCATTTAATCCGGACAAATTGTGATACTAAAGATAACTCAATAAATCAAAGACTTTAGATATAAAAAAGACAAAAAGAAAACAAGATGCACAAGCAAAGGCATTACAAAAAGTGTAAACCTCCAAACTTCAGCATTTCTGTGTGACCTTATTATAACAGAGCTACTATCAAGTATGTGTCTGAGAAACAGAGTCAATGAAATTGATCATACCCTTAACTTGTACTGGGGCTCTCCAATCATTAGCATATTAACAAAGTTCCAACATTATCATAGAGAAGCCCATAGGAAAATGTATCAAGAAGTCAGCACCCCAACCAATTTCTTGAAAATTAATATTCTACTCAATTTCAAACTAAGCCTCATATCAATGGAACTTAAAATAGAAGAAAGACTTTCCAGTATTTATGCAGTTTCCAAAAGAAGAACAAGAACCCCAAATTTGCACCTTCCCGTTTCAGGAAAGAATTAGCTAAGCTACCCCCCCCCCCGACCCCACCCCACCCACCCACCCAAACT